TAGGCCAAGAGATCGACCTCGATGCGGTTCGCATGATTGGCAGCTCTCGTTAAAAACTCAAGTTCTATTTTCTTAAATGAAAATCTTCCTGTATTTTATTTTTCATTTTTTTGCTTAAAATTATTTTTAGTTTTCTTTTTTTTTAAACGTTTCTCTATTTTTCTATTCATATTTTTTTTACTAAGAAAAAAATTTGTTTGAAATATCTAAATTTTGGTTCATTCAATTTTATTGATGATTAAATAAATTGTAGAATAATTTTAAATTATTTCTTTATTGGAAAAAATTTAAAAAACAAGGTTTAGATCAATATTTATAATTGAATCAAACGAATTTTGTTTGAAGGAAAAAAATTGTGTTAAATGTTTCAAACAAGTTTTTTCTTTTCTATTTTTTACACCTTTTTTCGAAATTTCTGAAATGTAAATTATCCTCGTAATTGACTTGATTTCTTTTTGATATATCTCCTTTTTTTTGCAGAAAGAGAATCTTGAAGAAATGATAAAACGGATAATTGCGAGTGCAAGGTTCGACGGCACCTTCTTCTTCTTCTTCTTCTTTTCCTTCGAGACGAAAGTGCGATTAAGAGGGCGGTAGTCTACCGGAGCTATAGAGGTGGCAGGGTGGGTCACTCCACTATATATATATCGAGTCCAGGTTCTCTCTCCTATCTCTTTTTTCCCCTCTTGGCAGTGAGCAGCGGCAGAAAAATCCACCCCTTTTTCGAGCGGTCGATACCAGGATGAAACGCCAGTCGACCAACCTTTTTCTCCTCTTTCTCCGACATTTCACCTCCTCCACCACCGTCCCCACCTTCCGACGACGATGTCTCGCCTTTTCTTTCTCGCACCCCCGTTTTCGAATATATATATATATATAGCGGGGGTGCAATAAAAGTTTCTCTTCTCTGCCGCTTTCTGCCGAGGTGGCGCCACGTTTCGCACACATACACATTTTTTGCTACCTCTCTCCTCACGCCTACGTGTTCGTTCTATACAAACACCACCCCCTTTGAGTGCGTTCGTGTCGAACTAACTGCATAGTTACTTTATGTACCCGGAGTCTAAGTAATCCACGGACCATCAGCTAACTTCTTAACCCTCAAAGTGAAAAGCCGCCTTCTACTTCTTTTTCTCAAGATATTGCCTAGTATAGTCTTTTCTTAACGTTTCTCGAGAGTAAAGTTATATATATTGTCACTTTAAGTGAGAGGAAAAAAATTTTTTCAGTCAACTCAAAAGATAATGCAAAAAGATAAGGCCGCCAAAAGCTCTTTTAATGTCCTTCGTCCATTTGGAAATTTAATCTCAAGATTTTTGGTTTCTTTATCGTATTCATTTTTTATTTTTTTAGTTCCATTGTTAGTCTCCTCTGTTGGACATGAAATGCAAAGCGAACTTTGGCAACTGTTTTGCCGCAACTTCAACAAAACTTGGCTCTAAAGTTATGTATACACTCAACTTTGGAAATGAATAGAAAAAAAAAAATTGAATTTTTTGAAAAATCATAAAATTAGTTAATTATAATTTTCGGTTCCATTTTGTGGATTAATCGAAAATATGAGGGGAAAAATGGTATACACTCAGAAAAAAGATATGTTTGAATCAAATGTACCATTTTTTTATATTTATCCAATTTTTTGGTTAGTTCAAAAAAAATTTGTTTAATTCAAATAAATATTTATTTGATCTAAATAACTGTTTGGTTTATTTTGTAATAAATTTTTCTGAACAAAGAAAAAAATTGAGCTAAATAAACGTTTCGTTTATGCAACAAAATGTTTGGTTAACTGTATATCAATGCATTTATTTTGTTGATTTAACCAAAATTTGGTTGCTTCAAACGAATTTTTTTCTGAGTGTATATTTTAGTTATACACGGAGAAAAATAAAACGAGAAAAACGAATAAAAAGTAACTTTTACTACTTTAAAAATAAAACCGAAACTGTCCGCAGTTTCTGGAAATTTTTACTCCAGAAATAGTAAAATTGACTTTTAAAATATAGCAAAAATTATTCCGGAAATAATAAATTTTACTATATTTCTGGAGTAAAAATTGCGCAGAAATTGGGGACAGTTTTACTTTTAGGATAGTAAAAATTACTTTATTCATTTTTCACCGTGTAGAATTGTTATAGTGGCAGTCACGCCAAAGGAGTGTAGTCCGCTTATGTCGAGACACGCGGAGTTTGGAAAAAGATCCCGAGGAAGATGGACGCCGGCGTCTATCGGCCTCGCGGGATGAACGGCTCGAAGCCGATCGGTCGTAAAGCACCTTGGGCTCGTGATTCGAAGTAGGTGGGCCTCAGGTAGCAGGACAGATACACCCTGAGATTACTTCGGACAGAGTCATTAGCCGCGTCGGCTTCTGTGTGTGCCTCGAACTCGGCGCTCCTCTCCTCCTTCGAATCTCTTCTTTTTCCCGGGGTTTTATCTGCACGGTCAATTCACGCGGCACATACCGCATATATATATATGTGTGTTCTGATCCTGGTTTCCATTCGCCTCCTTCTTCTTTATTTCTCCCCCCCATTCGAGTTTCTTCCACCTTCAATTTCTCCTCCCTTCTTTTTCGAATATATATACTGAGAGAGAGTGACGCATTTGTGCGCGCAATAGATAGCCTCCCAAGAAATACTAATTTGTTATACTTTTCAGATCCCCAGGAGTATTTGATTCTCGATGCCAGAACCTTTTGATAGGCTAATGACAGATGCTGCTAATTATTTCCTTTGAGGCTTGCCGCAAGAAGAGAGAGAGAGAGAGAGATATTTTATTTATTACTCCAATGGATAAAAATTATTTTGGAAAAAAAAAACTTGAAATATCTTCTCACACAACGACTTCCGGCGAAATTTCTTTTTTGCACGAAATAGCATATTGATGGATCATTTTGAAAAGGCAGAAATTTTTTTATTAGAACGTGCCTTGAGCGCGTGATTACTCCGTTTACTTAGGAATATAAGGATTTTATGAATGAGAGAAAGAGAAGAGTAACCATTATCGCCGCTCGAAATGGCTCTATGAGGTCGTAATGCACCCCTCATTGGAAAGGCAAGAATCGCGCGCCGGAAGAACGGACGTTTTATAAAAGTACTCTTTGCTCCATGGAACAATGGTTGGCAATTACCCACGCGAAAGCAGCTGAATCCTCTTGCTCCATTGAAATGGTAGCGTAAATAGATTATTTATCGGCCCCGAGGGCAAAAACATCCGTTTCCTAGGCCAGAAAATGTCGACGCTCGTAATCTTGTTTGTCGCTTCTGGGCAGTCGCAAAAGAGATCAAGAGAGAAAACGCAAATCACAATATATACACACACCTGGGTTTTTGTTTTGTTTGTCTTTTTTCAATCAGAAAACTAATGTCCACCATTCTCATTAAAATTCCTCTGCGTTCATTTTATTTAGGTCGAATTTCTCCCCAGATTTATACGTTAACTGTCGCAATATTGAACAATTTCTCTTTTTTTAGTTTTTGAAATTTTCTCTTTTCGTAAACCTGAAAAATCGAATATCTAAATTTTTAAGTTCAATTTTACTAAAGATGAAATTAAAAAAATGAGGTTTGAAAATTAAAGTATCGTTTTCATCAATGAAAGAGATACTTCGAACCACGAGAGTATGGAGCCCCATAAATTACCAGGAGCCTTTCTGGCGCACACGGCAATATCTTTCTCACGAGAGGAGCATTGTATAAAATTTTTACAGTGCCTTTTTGTACCTTGCAAGTATCGTATCTATATTATTACTTGGCCCATTTCTCCTCTTTACTGCTCCAGAGCACTTGCACATCACTACTTTGAATCACGGTAATAGTAATAGTTCAGTTGCTCGCTTATAAATATGCTTAATATTAATATTTTATATTCTAATCAACTTCAATTTTTCCTTCAGTGTATGAAAAAAAAAAAAAATTCCCTCTTTTTTTCTTGCAATTTCTAAAAATTGGTGTGCGATTAATATGCGTGATCGATTCTTTAAAGAAACAGAGATAGGGAAAAAAGAGTTTTTGATCATGAAATCCTGGGTGGCCTGAGAATTCGAAATCTGCCAATCGATCATTCCCTATGAGGAGAGCGATACTCGTTGAATAAATTATGCTCGTCGTATATATAATGGTGGTCAATCCACAGCAGTGGCGGAAACAACTCGACGTGGGGTGCAATTCGCGCTTGCGAATCTATGGGAGGTAAAGAGAAAGAGCTATGGTTTATACTCTCGGAGGTGATTGTCATGCTTGGTCATTATCATCGTCGAACCACGACGACGACGATGACGACGACCGCCCATATATCTGCATAATACTCTCCGGGCTCCGCTTTCTCTCTCTCTCTCGACGCCATTTTTTTTTCTTCCTCCTTCATTATTCAGGATGCGTTCCTTGCTGTGGACGCCTCAAGAAAGAGATATATATATATATTCCTCCCGAGGCTAGCAATTCTTTTTCCTACGACGTAAAGGAAAAATATATATTCTCATGCTCCAAATTCGTAAATTTCGTTATAGAAAAAGAATTTATTTATTATTTTTATTAAAAATTTTCAAATTAAGAAATAAAATAGAATTTCATAATTTTGCAGGAAACGTGTGGAAAAAAATGATAACTGGATATGACATTTTAATTTCAAAACATTTTCAATGTTTCAATTAGAAACGTTTGATTAATTATCGACTTGTAGTAATTATTGCTCGATGATCCGTGAGTAATAATTTTAATACCAGTCGTTTTTCAATATTCCGCACAGGCGGTAATCGAAACATTTTTTTTTTTTCTCCTAAAGAGTGAGTCACAGGTAATTTTCCTTGCATGCGACAGGTTTTATGATTGATATAGTTTACACATGTAAAGTAGTTTTCTATTTTTTTTTATCAAATTTTCTATAAATATTTTTTTCGTCTCTTTTTTTATATTTTGAAATTGACTATATAGAAAATTGATTTGTTGATTCAAATATAAAACAGTCTGTCCCAATGTATGCTCTGTTCTTTTTTGTTACAGACGATATTGAATTCCATGCACAAATACCAGCCGAGGTTTCATCTCGTCCGGGCCAACGACATCCTCAAGCTCCCATACTCCACGTTCAGGAGTTATGTTTTCAAGGAAACGGAATTCATCGCTGTGACTGCCTACCAAAATGAAAAGGTGATTTTTTTTCTCATTTTTCTTCAATTTAAATATTCAAATTTTCTTTTTTAATCACAAGAAATTAATTCTATTCTTTTTAAATAAGGGAGAATAAATTATCATTTAAACACGAAAAATTCCCTTTTTTTTGATAATTTTTCCCCTCTTTATCATTACAATCGGAAAATTATTTATTTCTATTTACCAATCTATAGAATTTAATTTTCAACTAAATGATAAAAAAAAATAATTTTAAAACTTAGTAAAAGATAAATTAATAATATCTTTAATAGTATCTTGGAATTACGATGAAGCTTCCGGGTTAGAAGAAAAATTGTATATTTCTCTTGGAAAGATATATAGTAAAATTTTGTTTTTGTGTTTGATTGCAACACGTGTATGGACAATTGCTCCTTCATTCATATATAGCGAAACTATTTCAGATTTATCTCGAATCACGTATATATAGTGCTAATTAATATCTGTTCACTCTCACTCTCTGTATATATGATAAAAGCTCTTATTTCGTGAAATCAGTGCGTTCTCAGTAAACATTATTTCTGGTACACTTAAACACGCGCGTCACTTCTGGATATCGTTCATTAAATCGTAAAGGCTCGGCTTTGTTCAATTTTTTTGCCCTTTGATTTTTCTTCATTTAATTATCTCTCACGAAACGCTACGCTATAATAGTGCGGGCCATAGATTAAACCATCAGGGGATTCGTGACGATATTGAAATAAAACTCAACGTAATTTAGATAAAAAAAAAAAAAAAAAAAGAAATAACAACCTCCTCTTGTTCTTCCGCTGTAAGAAAGAAGTCATTCTTAATTTCAACTGATAAGATTCCAGACACTTCTATAATTTATCAATTCTTAATGAGAAATTACCTAAACTATTTTCTATTATTTAAAATTCGATTTTATTTACCGAATATAAATTTCTTTTTTTTTAATTTTACAGTAAATATTAAAATAAATATCCAAGTCATTAATCAAAAAATTGAATATTTGAATTAAAAAAACAATTAGAAATTTAATAACTCTAAAATTGAAAGACTATAATTGAATTTATTTTTTCTTCTAGATCACACAATTGAAGATTGACAACAACCCCTTTGCAAAAGGATTCCGAGACACGGGAGCGGGGAAACGAGAGAAAAAGTGAGTGTCGCTTTCAAAATTTACAAATTGACACTATAAAGCTGATTGATACGATGAGAGGGCTTTTTTTTAAAACGTGAAGACATAAAACGGGGTGATTTTTTTTTATTAGAATCTTAATAGCGATTCACCCTATATGTATATATAGAGCTGAGAGTTGGTTCATGGGGCTCATTTGCACCCCGGACGTTGCTTAGGCGGACGCATCCATTTGTATTCAATATTGCAAGTTTATGAGCTTATGTCAGGTTCCCCTCGGGGCCATTGTTACCACCAATGAAACCCATTTCAATTTCATTGAGCGCAGGGTGAAAATTCAAGTGGATTTTGATGATGTTATGGTTAGTATGCATAGAATCCGTCTGATATAATGCTCTTTACATTTTATTTAACGCGGATATACATCACTTTTCTTTTTTTTGCTCCATTTATCGTCTGGTATTTAAAAAAAAACATTAACGAATTACTGACTTGTAATTAAACAGAAATAACTTATTGATTTATTGAAAGGTATTTTGTCGAAAATATGTAATTAAAATAACTTATTGACAATTCTCAACTTTCAATAAAATCAATAAGTTTAAATTTAGGAAAGTTGATTAAATGGGGGAAATTTTTAACCGAATTTTTATTAAGAGCTTTTATGTAACTGAATTAATATTTAACTGAATTTATATTTAACAGAACTTTTATTTATCCGAATTTTCAATTAGCAGAATTCTATTAATTAAAGAATCTAAAAAATTCAGTTAAATTGAATTTTCCGTTTAAGATTTAGTGGAAATTTAGTTTAATTAAAATTCTATTTTTTAAAATTCGGTCTTTTGAAATTGGAATTAACGAATATTAGAGAATATTTATGAGGAAAATTAATGAAAAAATAAAAAAATAAATAAAATTAATTAAAGAATGTCCAAAAAATTCAGTTAAATTGAATTTTCCGTTTAAAATTTAGTGGAAATTTAGTTTAATCAAAATTCTATTTTTTTAAAATTCGGTCTTTTGAAATTGGAATTAACGAATATTAGAGAATATTCATGAGGAAAATTAATGAAAAAATAAATAAATAAAATTAATTAAAGAATCTCCAAAAAATTCAGTTAAATTTAATTTTTCGTTTAAATAAAATTCAGTGAAAATTCAGTTTAATCTATTTTTTTAAAATTCGGTCTTTTGAAATTGGAATTAAGGAATATTAGAAAAAATTTATGAGGAAAATTAATGAAAAAATAAAAAAAAAAATAAAATTAATTAAAGAATCTCCAAAAAAATCAGTTAAATTAAATTTTTTGTTTAAATAAAATTCAGTGAAAATTCAGTTTAATCAAAATTCAATTTTTTAAAATTCGGTTTTTTGAAATTGGAATTAATTGGAGAATATTTATGAGGAAAATTGAAAAACTAAAAATGGGCTTTTTTTTATTATGCAACGAATTTTTGGGAACATGATGTAAATCAGAGAAAGAAATTAGAAAAAAATCAGAGAAAAAGTATAATGATAAGAATCAATGAGGGAAATTTAGAAAAGTGTATATATAGACTAACGGCTGGACTATAGACATATATATATAAAGAAGAGAGTTAATCGAGAAAATATGCAAAGCAGTGTGCGTCGTGGCGTTGCCTAATTAGAATAAGGGTTAGTTTCGGCTTATGGTTTTGGTTAAGGGTGGTCGAAGCCACCAGGAAGCGAGGATATATATACACCAAGAGGCTGTCGAGAGGGGCGAGGTTGGAACATAGCCAATCATCGGATTAGCATACTGATGCTCAGGGGCGTCGCTGTCGTTAAGTCGGGGGTGTGGAGCGCTACTTGGTGGCTTTGAATTTCATATATTATATATACCAACAGACTTTAACGCGCAGGTCTTAAAAAAAAGTATACCCCATATATTTATCAACACTTTACACAAAAAAAAATTATAATTAAAATTATACTCATTACATCTAGATTGCAATTTATTTATTCCAAGAATCATATATATATGATTTAATGTAATAATATATTTTCTTTATCTGTTGCTGTAATTGAAAATGATGTCAGAGTATAGCTTTCAATTTGCATTAATTACGAAATACACGAAGGCTCAAGTTTTATAATCGATAATAGAATATACATATATTTTTTTATCGGTATTCGTTTGAAATATATTTTCACTCGTAAAATCTTAGTATTTATTTCGCCAGTAACGGGTCAATGAAATTTATTGATGCAGCGCGAATGAGCAGTTGGACAGGTGTTTGAAACTCTATAGCTGGATAATTACGTCTAAAGAAATATATATATATGTGTATATATTGCTGGTTTAATAAAATTTGAGCTCTAATTAGTTCAGTGGTGTAATGAGGAGGTATGCAGGTGCAATTGCATATATGAAGAAAGTGTTTTTCACACACGTTCTTTGCTCTTATATACTTCAAATAAATTTTTTTTTTATTGATATCATTTTACAAAATTTATCTTATCGAATCATCTCAGACAGTTTGAAAATTAAATATTGAAATTAGAATCGCTTAAATATATATACAGGAAATATGTCTATTTCAAAATGCTCGAAACAGTTTTCAAGGTTAATTATTAATTTTTTTTTTTTCTAAAGGGTCTGGAAAACTTGGAAAAGGCGTGGCGGAAATTATAATTTTTTTTACAAGGGCATAAATATAATTTCTAGTTGGAGGAACAAAATTTGAATCGTTTTGTAAAGAAAAAAAAAACAACCCTCGATCGGAAGCTGATGTATATGATTTTAGGCGAAGGCCTTTTTCAGGGATATATAAAATGCGCGGGGAGACGCGTTTTTCGTTCGAGCAGATTCTCGGCTCTGTAATTTAAAATGCAGACGGGAAACTGCGGAAGAGAATTCGCACTCTGTTGCTCTCTCTCTCTCTCTGTCTCTCTTTGGTGTAACCCCTGACATTACCTAATCCAAGGTCGACTGTTGAAGGGGTCGAGAGACTCGTGCTTGGATCACTTTGAACGGACCGATCTTGTCTTTGTCGGGACTAAATGTAGAGAGAGAAAGAGATAGTTGGACCCTGAGGGTGTTGTAAGGGATCGGGAAGGGTGAATGTTACTGCAGAATCGAAGGGCTGATTATAATTCCGTGCGACGAGGGACAACAACCACCGCGACGATGACACTAAACAGTCGAGTGAATTCGCGTCGTCATTTCAAAGAGAACTCTCTATCTCTATCCTTCCCTGAGTTCGTTTTAATTCCAGCCTAATTAAGTGTACCTCAACAGCGTAAATGCCCCTACACAGCGAATTTCAACCAAAGGCGATTAGCAGGTGCGAAAGGGCGATTTTTTGGAATCCGACCATTCATGTCATAGTCAACAGAAACGATCCTCTAATCTATTTTAATCTTTTTCTGCTCCTATTTCTTGTTCTTCTGTTTTACTTTCGTAATTCTAAAATAAAAAATAAAAATTTATAAATACAAAATTATAAAAAAGGAAAAAAAATAATAGACAAAAAAAAACCGTGAAAAAAAATTCTAAACATCTAAAATGAATTAAAAAGGAAAAGTGAGTTGGAAAAGAAAAAGATTAAAACAAGTTAAATGAGAAAACAGTTTAAAAAGAATTAAAAAAAAAAGTTAAATTTCCTAAAAGTGAAAAAAAGTTCTACAAGAAACTGTATAGAAAAAAGGTGATTAATCACGCAATTAAAAATAGTAAAAAAGGGCAAATAAAAAAAGGTTGCCAAAGAAGAGAAGACAATCTTTTCTTCTATGGCAAAACTTTTTTTTTTTTTTATTTACACATATGACCAGTATGAAAATGTGCAAAGACCTACTTATGTGAAAATTCTTCACTCCTCTCTGTGTGTCTATATGGTATATATACACACTATTGATTTAACGCACCCGAGAACTTGTACGACGGAAACGTAGAAGTGTGTGTGTGTGTGTTCTTGTATACGATCCGAGTTAGTCCTCTCTCTCTCTCTCACTCTCTTTCTGTATAGGTATATATGTGACATAGTATTGGTGTACTGATCGCATTACATGGCATTAGTGACTGGTAAGCTGCTCACAGTCTCCAACGCGGCTTTGGTTGGAGACCTACACAAAGCTTTAGGTATTTACAAGGGTTGTAGGTGGGAATCAGAGATTTTAAAGTGACCTTAATTGGTCCTCATCGCGGAAACAAGTTTCATATATAAACTCTCCTCATTATCTATATATATATTTCGAAATCAAGTTGCCTTTTCAAAATCCTCTTTCAAATAAATTTTCTGCAAAAATTCAATTTTTACCGAAAAATTAGTTCAATTTTCATCTGAAACAAAAAGAAATTCGTTAATATTTGTATAATTATAACTTTATAATATTTTTATAATCAAATATTTCATTTTTAAGATTGAAAATTTTTAAATTAATTTTAAAATTAAATTAAATAAAAAGTTGAATAAAAAATTATATCAAAATTGAAAAAATTATTTTTAAAAAAATTATATCAAAATTGAAAAAATTATTTTTAAAAAAATTTTAGAGTTTGATAAATCAGAGTAAAAAGGTGTAATTGCATATTGTAAAAAGTGTGATACATTCGAATAGAGAAAAGGCGCTGAAGGTGCAATTAAGATAATTAATTTAATACCTCGCACATCACAGATACTAGCTACTGGGTTTGCATAAATCCTCTCCTCATCATCAAGCGGTGAGTTATTGCTTCGTGTATATGTATGACGAGACACACTCTCTCAAGCTTCGAAGCGATTTAAACACATGTCTTTTCTTCAAGTATCCACTTATATACCACACGTCACTTACACGCTCTTCTTATGTAAGACGATAAATGTTCAAAACCCTTCATCGAACCCTCGAATTACTTTGCATTTATTATTAAAATCAACTTGATTCCCTTCTCACGCTTTTCTGCGTAATATTATTATCAATATCGGTATATTATAAACTCAATTGATTTTGAATATATCCTATTATATTATTAATTCTTCATTAAGAATTAATGCCGCAATTAAAATCTGTAACATCAATTGTTTCAATTATTAATTACATCATATTTTGGAATTTAAATAAAATTTTGTTTTTTTTTAAATTTAAAATAATATATTCGAGAGAAAATGATATTGAATAAAATTCGTATCCTTTTTTCTAGTCTAAATAGCAAGAACTTTAACTAAATGCAAGATTGGTTTTATGGTAATAAATTCGCTTTCTTTCTGATGGGGATTTCAAAGCAAAAGGACTCGATTGTTGAGCGGGATATAGAAAAAAAAATGAACTCTTTAATGCGCTATCACGAGCCCGCATTTGTGTATATGTATAACGATTGTAATTATTCCCAAGAAATATATATATATATACTTTCTAACTCTCTACATCGATTAGAAAACAACAGAGAAAAATCGAATACGTATCAATCAGCATAATTTTTTTTTTCTGTATTTTAATTTTCTTTCGATATTTAAAAATACACTCAGAAAAAATTCGTTTGAAGCAACCAAATTTTGGTTAAATCAATAAAATAAATACAGTTAACCAAACATTCGGTTGCATAAACCAAACATTTATTTAGCTCAATTTTTTTCTTTGTTCAAAAAATTTATTAAAATAAACCAAACAGTTATTTAGATCAAATAAATATTTATTTGAATTAAACAAATTTTGTTTGAACTAACCAAAAAATTGGGTAAATGTAAAAAAATGGTATACATTTGGTTCAAAAACATATCTTTTTTCTGAGTGTATTTGGAAAAATTAGATATTCGAAAAATGAAATATTCACCATTGCTAACTCTGAGTCGTTGTTGCAGAAGACAGGCGCTGTTGACGGTGTCAGGTGGAGGTTCTCGTTTGAGTTCTGGTGCTCCAGCATCGCCGGAGAAGCGACGCTCATCAAATTCGGGAAATGATCTTATGGACGATGACGATAAACTTCTTGATGTTGTGGGACCGGATACGCCTCATCCAGCTCATCATCATCGTGAAAGAGAACATTCACGTGAAAGGGACGATCGTACGAGTGAACGAGAAGGTTCGGAATCATCAGGATCAGAAAGTGGCGGTACAATGGGTCAAGCGGCAGCGTCGGAAGGTCCAAGGCCCGATGTATCAGTGGGACCACCACTTCATCCACCTCTATTGCCATACCTCTATCCACCTGTTCCGGGACTCTATCCAAGTCCAGGTCATTTAATACCACCAAATCCCTTAGGACTTCATGGCGGTGTCACACCTGGTATGATTTTCAATGCACAATTAGCATTGGCAGCGTCTCAACATCCGGCACTTTTTGCTCATTATCCACATCCACTGGCGAGTCCTTTACATCAATTGAAGGGCCATCGTTTTGCACCCTATACACTTCCAGCGTCGTCTCACGGTTCTGCGTTCGAAACCGTTACACCAGGAAGTCGTACACTCAGTCCAAGGTCACCACCTCCAAGGCCACCAACAAGATCACCAACGCCAGGCAGTGGAAGTCTCGTCTCGGCGACCGGCGAACTGAAATCAATCGAAAATATGGTCAACGGTTTGCAGGAAAAAAGAAGAAGTCCCAGTCTCACGCCAGGACACAGGGGCGACACAGACGCTGGAGGAGGGAGTCCGTGACAGGAGAACGATCATGTAACCAGTACAAACTCAGAATTCCTCGACGATGAGGAACGAAATCAATCGAATTCGGAGGATTCGCTCGATGAGGAGAGAGAGCCTGACTCAACGTCCGAACCATCGTAGCCCCAACTTTAATAAAGTCTCTCGAAAAAAATGGGTTTGTCCATTAAAAAAAGTTGGACTCTCTACTTGGTGCAACATCCGGTATAACCGGAGTGAAAATATAAAATTTAAATATACAAAAGTGCAATTTAAGGACAGTCCTCGAATGGACAAAAAAAGATGCCCATCAAATTCCGTGTGAGTGTATATAATATATAAGATTCTTTTTTTTCCACCTGGGTTTTTTCCGATTTTATCAGTGGACTTCCACCACAGAAGAACACTCCTAGGTGCCCTCCTCCCATCTCCCCCGCCCCCACTTTGTAAATTTACTCGAAAAAAAAGAGTCGAATACCTGCGAATACTTAGAATTTAAGAAAAAATCTATTATTATAATGATATTGCAATATATAAGTGCACCTCCACTATTTGCAGTCCTTGTACATATGTACCCTACTTGCATATATATTATATATGAAATATAAATACGACTATCCTCTGTATTAATTATTAAATATATTATTATATGGATTATTAGAGTCGTAAACAATCAATTCGGGACGCGCTCGCGAGTCGAAAAAAAAAATTTATATATATTTAAAAATAATCGGTCCAACCGTCGGGGACGTCACACACGAATAGGTACAATTCATTATTTGGCATCCCTTTGTTTTTGCACACACACACACACAAACACAACTATAACTTGTTACACTAATCCGAAATTAGACTTTTAGTCCTTAAAAATTCATTTTTTAAACTTAGATTTTTAATAAACTTGATGAAAACTTTTTTTTTCATTTTTGGACCAAAAAATAGAATTCTATTTAAAATTATACAATTTTGCCGTCATAAATGAGAATTTTTTTTTTTTAATAATAATCCTTTGCCGGTATTAAAAAATCCAGTTTTTAAATCATTTCTCCATTGATTCGAAATTTGAAAATTTTTACTTTTTGAAAAATTAAATTGTCCGGATGCGACGGCAAAGGAATTATAAAAAAAAAATTCTCAAAAATTCTATCATTTTAATTACAAAGAAAATTTTAGTTTTTTTCAAGTTTTAATTCTCGTTTTTTGCTCATCAGCAAACAAAACTCGGAGTCAAGAAAGAAAAATTACGATTTTATTTCTATATTTATTATTATTGTATAGATAACGACGAGATTTTAAATCTTACAAAAAAAAATGCATTATTGTTATTTCTGAAAAGTTGTTTTTTTTCTTCTCCAAATGTAAGAATTGTACATTCCCGGATTTCAGTGAAAAAAAAGTGTAGAATACATTTTTCAAAATGTGAAAAATTAAACACAAGTTTTTGAGTAAATATATACATGTATGTATATGTTTGTCATTTTTAAATCAAAAAAACTTAAATCTCGCAAAAAGGATCGAGTTTCATGTCTCGTACATCAGTGTCGTCATGTGATAAAAAAAAGAAAGGCGAAAAGGAAGATTCTCGAAGGCGCGTGCTTTCCACGAAACCTTTCCTTTTTCATGATTTTTTTTTTTTTTTTAACAAATTGTAGTAATTTTCCAATTTTGAAAATTCACGTTCTTTCAACGCGAATACCAAATTCTTGATAATTTTAAATTGAACATTTTTTGAAGTAAATATTGATTTTTTTTTGGGGAAAAATTGTCTTTAATTTTAAAATCAATTCTTTGAATTGAAAAAAATTGTTTTCGTGTGGAAAAAAAATTATTTATACCAAAGACCGTTTCTGTTTAAAAAACAAAAAGTTTTTAATTGAAATATATTTACGTTTAAAAAATGTTTTTCACTTACATTTTTGTATTAAAATTTTTTTATTAATGTAAAAAATTCCATAGGAATAAGAAAATTTGGTATCGCAATGGAAGTTTCGTATATTCACTCTGTAAATTGTATAAAAAGTAGAGGTTTCTATATAAATTATTGCAAATCATGTAATAGCGGTTACATATATGCAATCAACTCACGTGAGTCTTATAGAGAACACACATCAAACAATCGGGGATTGTACTCACAAAGATAAAAAAAAAAAAAAAGAAATGTAATAAACTGTGCTTAAAAGCAGGATCAGAGTAAGTTAAATTTCAGATACAAAAAAAAGCTATCATTTGTATGCGCCGAGGGGGTTTACTTACATGTAGATATAAATAAATATATTATGATTTTCTTTTAGAAAAATAGTGGTCTCAAAAGAATAATAAAAAAAAACACAACGGCGAATACAGAAAGCTAGTAGTATCTAGGATAGTCTAGCTGCACCTCTGAATAATTCCTCGATATTGTTATTTATTTCAATACAAAAAAAAAGAACTTCAAACCATTATTTTAAGCATGGTTTCTTTTTGAAAAACTCATTCATTCGTATACGAAAATTATTTTTATTTAAAACTTACTAAAGTTTATTTGTAAATTATATCAAAGTTTTTTAATTTAAAAAATTTAATTTAATTAGGAAGAAAAAGAAGTTTAATTAATAAAATTTTAATTTGTTTGTAAAACATTTCTTGTATGTCATGGTTTGAAAAACTCTTTGCTCCAAATCTTTCTTTCTTTGTTTTTTGTTCAATCGGATGTTTCCAGAAAGATTTGAAGCGAACGTATATAATATAAGAGAGAGAAAAAAAATAAAAAATGTCACGTCGCATGTCACGAAAAGAAAAATCATCATCATTGGAAATAAAATAATCAAGGCTCGTGGCTTACAATTTCCTTGCTGCAAAATTGATTTGTAAATATAAACTCGACATGAAAATACAGATTGTATATGTAAAAAAAATTTCATTTTTCAAATTCAATGACACGTGACAATGATATTTATAAAAACGAAATCTGGTTAGACCAAATTTCGTTTTTAGGTGCAGCTTCTTTTTTTCACGTTTTCGTGTTTCCAAGGGTAAACCAGAAAAATACATAATTTTAATCTTTCTTCATCAAAATTTTTGGCTGTTTAGTAAATGTTGCGTGTAAATTAAATGTTATGTAAGTGTTAAGTTCGTGTGTGATTTTCCGAACATGAAAAATAAAAATAAACAAAAACCCTTAGAAACTGAAAGCGTGATTCTGAATAAAAAAAAAAAAAAAAAACTCTATGACTGTCTTTTTAGTGCGAAAAATTAATATTAAAAAAAAAAAATAAACTGTTTATACAATGTGACAAAAAAAGTGAAAGGACGTTAAAAACACGATCAGCACAATGAAAATAACTAGAATATTTGAAATTGAAAACAAAAAGAAAAAAAAAATTTTGGGCCCAAGCTCAGGGCTGTTTTACTTTTGAGTGATCGGTCTTATATAAATAGAACTGGGTCGAGTTCGTCCTCTGTTTTTTAAGAATTTTGCTCAACTTGTTAATTTCTTCCAAGAATATTAAGCGCGGCCCTGTGCTCGATTAAAAAAAAAAAAGGGCCCTTCGAAACAGCAATAAGTCCTATGAGACCGCATCACTCCCTGAGAATCATATTCCTAATCGCTTGTATGTATATTGTACACTCTGGCCCCCAAGCCCTCCAAAAATCCACATGATTAAAAATTATATATTAATTTAAAAATAAAACTGACTATTCATTTCCCTTCATACCTTTCCATCCAAAAAAAAATATAATTCAAATTTTTAATTTATCCAAGTAAATTTAATTTCATTCTTCTCTATTTATTTTTCAAAAGATTTTGACGAATATTTTTCAATAAATCGAATTTTTTAAAATAGAACGTGATTTAACTTGTAAGATATAAAAATTGGTTTTTTTATTGTTTAAAATGAAAATTGAAAAAACTAAAGAAGAATTGAAATTAAAGAATGTATAATACATATATTTTGAAAGAAGAATAATTTTAATAGCAAGAATATATTTACTAGCTTCTATGCCACTTGGGAATTCTCTTACAGTGTCAATCCTTGAGTAACTGATTAATTAGTGCGATCGCCTGCATAAAATGAAACCTCTCCTAACGACGTCGGGACTTTGAAGTCATGCCGTTTATACATTTTTTTTTTTTTTTTTGTTTGTTCCGTTTGAAATTAAAAGAGAAGCATCGAATAGAATTATATTTTTAAATAAGAGTCTCTCGTAACTGAATGTAACTAATTGCAAAGATTAGAATCCAAGAGATAATCAACTCTTCAATCCGACAGTAAATAATGCTAAAAGCTCTTTCAATAAAGAATAAATTTCGAAATTTTTATTTCAGTAAAATATATAGATATACCTATTAAAATTATGCAATATGAATTAAAATTATTTTTCAATATTAAAATGATAAATTATGCGAATTCCGTTTTTTTTATCTTTTATAGGAGAAAAAATATTTTAATAAAAATTTGGAACTAGATGAAAAAGCTGATTTATTTTTCCTTTTCACGACGGTGAGAAATTCTGATTAATTTAAAAATAAAAAAATTTAAATGTCGAACTCAGCGATAAAAATTCCAATGTTCACGGTAAATGTAACTCAGTAATTACAGGAAGGCAAATGAATATATATATATATACACATTGCGAAATAATTAACGATATACAAAATAATACGCATTGTAATAGATTATTAGAAGAATATCCATTAATTTTCCCGAGAATTGGTTAATTAATTTAAATCGACATTCAAGCGACGATGAATAGATAATCAAAAAGGAAGGAAGAGAGAAACTTACAGTTTCCTTCGCTTCACAATTAGACTAATTGTTACACAAAAAAAAAAGTTTGTTTATGTTCCAGAAACATAATTACAATTACAGTTTAAGTGAACTCCATTATTACTATATTTTACAGTCTTATATTTTTTTTTAATTAAAATTTTTTTTTAGTAAAAATAAATAATAAACAAAATAAAAATTATTTTAAATACCTGATGGCGATGAGGAATAATCAATGATTTTAATATTTTGACGAATTCACTTTTCCGAAACTGTCTATTCATCTTCTATAATGATCATAAAATATAATATCTGAAAAATTTTATTTATCAATGACAGGGAAATTGGAAAACAATTTAAATTTATAAATAACATTTACAAATAAAAAGATAAATATTATAGAATAATTTTAGCTAAAATTTATGACAATATATATATAGTGTGTTCTATTTACCATTGCGGGTTAAGGTCTCATGAGTAATCAGGGAATAAATTAATACATGAGTAGAATCACAAGATAAAAAAAAGAGCAAATATCGAGAATTGAAGGTGATTTATATCGTTCGAAATCAAGCGCAATCGTTGAGTCTCATTTTTCAATTCTCTCTCTGTCTTTCAATAATGATGGAGTCGGAAGTTAATCGCTCGAATCACGAGATCCGAGTTTGCCTTTTCGTTTGTTATCAACATCGTATCGTGTAATCGTCTTCCATACTGAAAAAACAGAGAATATTTTACATTTTCTTACAAATTTTTGTCAAAAAAAAAAAATTATTTCAAATTTTCTGCAATAAAATTTAATTATTACATATTTGTTTATAAAAGAACATAAAATTCGTTTTGAATCAATATAAATACTCAAAAATGTATTTAAATGACAAAAAATGATTTCGTAATTTTTAATTATTTTAAAATAGAATAAAAATAAATTTTCAAATATCTATAATTTTAATTTTGAGATTAAAATCAAAGAGCAAGGAATTATTGTTTCAAGAATTAACTAAATCACTTTTATTCTTATAAAGTTGTGAGAAGATATAATAGCTTCTCTTTTACTTTTGAAATGTTCGACGATAGCCAAGAACGTATTTCGTTGTTTGTTGACAGTTTAAAAGTCGCCGCCTACCGTCGTTATTCAGGTGTCTCGGGTCAATCAATTTCGAAGTTAATGGCTTTAAAACAACCTCAGAAATTCCGCGAATATATCGGAGATATATCCGCAGTCAGGTAATAAATCCAATCCACAATACTGAACCGTAAGCTCCAAGTGCATTATATGAATTTTGAAATCATTTTTTTTTTATTTTTTTTTGCTTTCAATTCAATGAAGCGAGCAAATTAATCTTTAAAATTTATAAAGTTTTGTAAACATTTTCCCTCATGATGATGTGGTTACAATTAATCGTCAAAATCAATTTCGTCAATTAACACAAAATGTTCATTAATACTATCAATTTGAACAGCGTAATGGAGATTTTTTTAAAATAAATATTTATAGAATCAAAGTTGAAAACAGTTGATGAAAAATTTTTTTACCAATGTACATTTTTTTTTTTTAATATTGACTCTTGCTTGATAAATTGAAAAAAATTTAATTACCTACCATTTTTCGGATTGATAAAGCGAAAAAACTAAAAAAAAAAAAGAAATAACTAATTTTAGAAAATATAAACAGAAAGTTAACAAGTTTTTTTCAATTATTTTCTATCGGCTTTTTTTACAATGAAAAATAATGTTTACCTCTGTTTATTCCGATTGCTTTCAATTTGTAGCATTATGGATTTTATGATTTCGATTGTTGGTAATTTAACACTAATTTGACTTGTAATTATGATAAATTATTTTCAATCTTGAATAATTAGTTTTCTTTATTGACTATATTTTGCGAGTCAATTATCGAATTGTTTTACTTTCGATGTACGTAAACAGATTAACGCACGATTTAAAAAATTTTTTCATTCATTTCACAGATTTCAATTTTTAAACGATACAAACTTTAAAAGTTTTTTTCTTAAAATATAAAATAAATATAAAAATAATTCTGAAAATTAGTCATTATAAATTTTTAGGAAATATATATAGTAAAACACCTCAATAATTGATCGAAACAGAAAATTTTTCATATAAAATGAAATAGACGTGAATATTTTTTTTTTAATAAAATAAAATTAAAACTCTTACTGCATTGGAATTATTTATATCCACGGTTGTAAAGAAAAGTTAGTGGAGCTCATTGTGCAGAGTTATACGAATATATATTTCTGTATTTCTCTATCAAGGTATTATTATCATTTTTCCGTCGATTCCAAGTACATATATTCCTCTTCACATTCAGCACTTCAGAACAAGTACGATTAATCCAACATGAGGAGTACAATCTCTATGCGTCTCTACAACAGAAAACAAAAAAAACGTCAGCTTAAGAATTTATTACGTGCATTATTGTGATTTACAAAATTGTATTTTGAATTGCATTTTCATAAATTAGTGCCCTTTGAATTTATTTTTTTTTGTATATATTGAAAATTTCAATTATAAATTTTGAAAATAATAATTTAAATTAAAAATTTTATCAAAAGTTCTAGTTTCGAAAGATGTCAACTTTGATCAAAGTTCTAGTTTCTGATGAACCAGTGTGCGGAGAAACCATTTCCGAAATTACTTAATTTCAATTTCTCGAACACGAGGACTCACGAGATTTGCAAACAGTCTTGGGAAACGTTTTCCAGGGATAGTGATGTTCGTGTTCGAGATACCAAAGTCTCTCTCTCTCTCACTTTCCTATCTCTTGAGAGCCAACTTGGTCGACCACAGATTCGATGTGCTCGGAACCACTTTGCATAGTTTTAGTGAAACGACACCTCCCGGTGTCAATTAAATCCTCGCCTACATCTTCGTCGTATATAGGAAACTCTCGTGTCACTTTGATGGTCCTCGAGTCTCTAATTCTATAGGCTGAGAAACCCCCCGAGAACCGATCAAAGGACTTATTTCAAGAGAGATTTCTAATCATTCGAGAACTCCGAGCGGAACTTTACCTTGAAGATGCGCACACTGCTTAAGAGGACTTTGTAATTGTTGACCGTCTTTATTCGCGTTGAATAGTTCCGCCCAAGAGAGAGAGAAGTTTCATTTAAAGGAATTTCGAGAAATTCTCAAATACACTTTTATTTTCAATTTTATAGTCGAAATTTATTTTTTTTTTTATATATTGTTTTTACATATTCCAAATTCGAAAATTTTATTCTCTTTTAATATATATTCAAAAATTTGAAAAAGCGAATATAAAAAAATTAATTAGACATTTGGATATATTTTAGAAGTAAAACGTTTTTTCTCAGAGTACGCCTTTTGTATAAACTCCCCTTCTTTATTCTCCAATTTTTCATTATTATAATGAGAATTCAATGACAATGGGAAAGAAAAAAAGGTTTCGCGAATACTAATTTCCATAATTATTCTTGTATATATTTCGAAAAAAAATACCTAATTTTTTTTTCTATTATAGAGTTTACTTCCTTTTTATTTTCTTTTAATAGTGTCCTGATGATAAAAAAGAAAGAAAAAATATTCATTGGGGTGCACGGAACAATTCATTTAAAAATTGACTTAAAATTATAGTTGGCAGTCTATTTTTATTATAATGAATAAAAAGAAGTAATCGACTTTTTTCTTTATTCGCTTCTTTCGTTTTTATTCTTTATGAACCCATAATGATAATACAAAAAAAAGGGTTTTTAATGCTTGGCAATAACGGATATATCAATTCATGTAATTATTTTCTTCATATATGTGTATTGGAAAATTATGAAGGCTCCTTTTTTTTTATTATAACCGTTTATACATCCTTTACTGTGTTTCATTCAAGCAAAGCCCAATCACACTGTCTTTTATAGTAATTCATATTTCTTCGGTTCGTTTGG